CGCCGCGCTCGGCCCAGTCGCGCTGAGAGAGGCCGCGCCGAGCGAGCGCCGCCACCCGCCACCCGCACGGTAAGAGCCGCGGGCCGGGCCCTGCCGCCCGCCCGGCCCGGGCCTCCCCCTGCCCGCACAGGCCGCGGCGCAGGCCGCGAGGAGGCCGCAGCTAGGCCGCGCCAGGGCTCCGCCACAGGAGCGGGCCGCGGGCTCTGCGCCGGCGAGTTCCACACGCCCGGCGCGGCCCGGGACGGCGGGGTAGGTGGCGTGAGGAACGCGGAGTGGAGGTGGGTGGCTGCGGGCGCGGGGGGAGGCGAGTGGGGCCGGTGAGGGGCCGCGGGCCCGGCCGGGGGGGGCTCGGAGGTGTCTGGAGGAGGAGACAAAATGGCGGCGCGCGGGGGGGGGGGCGGGCGGGAGCAAAGGGGCGGGCGGGGGGGGGGGGGGCGGAGGGCGCCGGCGCCATCTTGAATTAATCGCTCGCACAGCCGGGGCCCCGCGCGGGCCGGGCTGGGCGGGGGAGCCTCGGGGCTCCGGCAGGGACCGCCCGCAGCCTCCACACCCTCCCCGCCTCCCGCTGCCACACTGTGAGGCGCAGCGCGCCGAGGCGCGTTCCGGCTCGCCGGGGCTGCCGGTCGAGTGCTCTCCTGCCCCGCCATCTGCTTCCTCTCCTCCTGCCGGGGATTCGGGCGGCGCGGGCTCGGCAGCGCCGGGAGCTCTCCCGCAGCCGCCTTCGCCCACTCGCCCCGTAAGCAGCCCCCTAATCCCCTTGGGGCCCTCTTGGTGCTGGTTCAAAGGTGCGCCTGGGATCGGTTATTTCCCTAATTTAGGTTTCGTTAGGAATTAGCTTATTTCCTTTGGAATTACTGTCGTCTGGCGCACAACATTCCAGTGAAATCTGGAGAAAACCCTTTTCTTTAACCGGTTTCTGCAAATACCCCACCACGGAACTACAACAAAGAGGGGAATGACGAGGGTTTTTTTTGTTTTTTTTTTTTTTTTACGGAACCGCAATGAGAACAGCAGCACTGATTCCCCTGCCAAAGCTGAGGGAGATGCGTCAAGAAATTAGCAGCTGAACGATCACATTGTTACAATGGCGTTTTTATTCTTCGGTTTCTCCACCTAATAATAACGGGGGTTATTTTCAAGGCAGGAATGAAATCCTGTAGGGATTGTAGGGTTTTGGTTTTTTTTTTCCTTTCGTATGTGTGCGACTGAGGGCAGTGTGCGTGTGTGTGCCTGGCGTTTCCCACAAGTGGGTCACGTCAGGCGAGTTGTGACACTGCAGCGGCGGCGGGGACAGCCCGGCGCTGCCTCCGGAGCTCCGCGGAGCCTCGCCGGCTCGGGGCTCTCGCCCGAATGGGACATGCCGGGCGTGCCGCAGTTTTTAATGGGCTGGAGCAAGGCACGACGGGAGCACGGTTGTGGCTGTGCACTAAGTCATCCCAGCGTGGGTAGGGGCCAGCGCTTGCACGTGGGGAATTTTGCTGCTTTGTGGCTTGATTTGTAAGAGTTTTGCTGCTTGGGTATTTGGTTTATGGCCTTACTAAAAATTAGGAGTAGGCAAATAACTATGCTGTGTATTTCTTTATCACAAGGATGGCTTTTCTGAAGTTTCCCCTTTTTTCTCCTTTTCCTTTTCCCCCCCTTTTTTTTTTTTGTTTGTTTGTTTTTGGTGAGAGCAGAGAAACAGTTTCTGCAGAATGTTTAAACTTCTTTTAAGGAGCTCTATTTTGAAAGTTGCTCCTTTAAAACATGACAGCTTGTCTATTTCATTTTATTTCATCTTGATTGCCTTGGTAGGCCTTTTGAGTCAAGGATCTGTAATGTGACAGTGCACTGTCTGCATTGCTTTTCTTGACTGATTGCTCTCATGATCATTTTTATTTTGGAAGAGTATTGATAATATAATAATACCGTTTCTTCCATCTGTCCTTCCACTTCAGAATGCTACCTTGACTTCCATAAAGCTAAAATCAGCCAAGTCTCTGAGTAAATAGATAAAAATCAGTTTGTAAAAACTAACTGTATGGACAGAATTAAGTATATTACAGAGTTGTATTAGTTCTTGATCCATGTGAAGCTGGCATGGACCTAAGCCAAGTAAAAGGTGTGGGTGTTTAGTTCTTTTCAGAGGTTGTAAAACCTGATTTTGGATGCCTCAGATTTATTTTTTTTTTGGTCCGAGTGGTAGAAGGATGTTACCAGAACTGCGATTTGAGCAAAGAGACACACAGTTGAGAAGGATTAAGTGAAGGGACAAGGCTGGGCACCAGCTTTTCTTTGAGAATTTGAATTCCCAAGATGGAACTGAAAAATTGATTCTGTTAGCTTTGATGCCAGAATCGGGTCCTGAGGTAAATGTCAGCTGGAATGTTTTGGAAGGACTGAGAGGAGTTTCTGTCCTTCTTGAAATCTTACAGAAAAGTGAACAGCTGGAATTGCTTCCTAGCCTTTATGGTAGCAGAGGCCTTGGGGTGCTTCCAGGGAGCTGAAGGTGTTCCTGTGGTGCTTGCAAGAAGCAGCTCTGGTATTTCTTGCGTCACGGAGCTGCTGTTGCAGGTACAGAGCGCTGTGGTGTTCCTTCCTTTGTGTGGCTGTGCTCACCTCTGCTCAGAAGAGCAAGGAGGAGGAAACAGTGTTTTCTCATCTCCTAGTTAGAATGCTCAAACACTGAAGTGTTTTCAGGAATCTTTTTGTATTTTTTTTTTCCTCAGCCACGGACAAGTTACTTTATGTCTTTTTGGATTGCAGATTCTGATTTGGACACTTTTATTATTTCAGTTCAGTTAATTCCTGTTTTAAGTGCCTGCATCCTCTTTCAGTCATCATCTTGCAGCAAATTTCTGTGGGTGTGAGGCCTGTGTCCTTGTGGAGCACTTCCAAACTCTTTTTGGTCCTGCACAGGGGTAAGAGGTGGCTGGGTCTGTATGCTGAAGCACATTTTGAGAAACATTTAGTAAGAGGAAAAAAAAAAAAACCCATTGAAATTTCTTTCTAGTCTGGAACAAGCACCAAAACAAATGTTGGTTGTCTTTTTAAGACTCAGACTTTTAAGGCCATGTGCCAGGAAGTGTCTTTGATTTGTTGGAGCCTGAGCCTTTGTTATGAGCACATTTTGCCAGTGTAGGTGAGAAGACCTGACCAGTGCAGAAGAGGACAGAATTATGTGGTGTGCTGGGCTGTCACTGCTGTGAAACTGCAATTCTTGAACACCACAGGGACATTTTGGGTTTGGAATCTGTTGCCTGGAATCCAGAAAACGAGAAAAACTGGGAAGAGATGGTGTCAGCAGGCACTTAGAGGAAGCTGGAAAGTAGTGATGGAGACCTCTGCCTGTCAGGGGTGAGGAAGATAGAAGGACAGTGAAAGTCTGCCTCACTTAGTGAAGTGAGGAATTTAGGGAGTGGATAGGACAGAGAAAGCACAGGCATGAATCATGAGGAGCAGGAATTCGTGGTGGAGTGGTCAGGTAGGTGGTGAAAGCAGGAAGCAGAGGAAATGAATGCCAGTTCTTCAGGTGGTGAACTGACGCTTCAGGCTGGTCAGGTCGCAGCAGATGGCAGGCTGATGTGTGTGATAATACAGCCTTCAAAAGCACAGGCACAAAGGGCAGCTGAACTTTTCCCAGAGATCCAGACAGAGCTCCATCTTATGTATGTGTAGTCTGAGGAGAGAGGCAGTTTTATTTCTGCCAAACCTTAGTACCCCTTTGTCTCCTGCCATAAAAAAACCCCTCCTCATTGTCCATACAATGTTTACTACAAATTGATGAGTAGCAGAGGTTTGTGTGAGTGATGGGAGGGTACTGTAGTTAGAAGATGGAGGGATGAAATGAGCAGGGGGTGTAATGAACATGATATTGGTGCAGGCACACCAAAAGTTGGAAAAGAAGCAACAGAAGAGAAGAAAGTACACAGGCAACACAGAAAATATGACAAGATGAATAGGAAGGACACTGGTAGTAGACTGGGTGGGTGTACACCAAATAGATGGGAGGAAAGCAACTTGGGTATGAATAATTCTTGCTAGAATTACTGTATGGGATTTTGTTACTCTGTTCTTGTTTCTGTGGCATGGCAGAAGTTGATTGCTATCAGTCAAGCTATTTCTTGTGTCTGAGGCTGAGAAACACTTTTCTTCTGCTCTTGGTTCTGAAAAAAAGCATTGGGTGAAGAGCTGTTCCCCTTCATAGTGGGCACTTTGGGTGGATGTGCTTGACAGAATAACTGGGAGGCAATTTGTGTCCAGTTGAATACCACAATGACTTGTTAGCACAGATGTCTTTAAAACATGGAGGCCTTCCAGCTGAGCATCACACAAATACAGAACACCTTGGAAAGTTACTTGTGTTCCACTATTTTTCTTCCAGTTCTATGTCTGGCTATATTTCTCTCCTTCAGCTTCTGTAAAAGAGAAGGCCTGAGTGACTGCACTGGAGGCTGGACAATACCCCAAAGGAGAGTTCCAGAGGTGAAGAATTGAGAAAATTTGAGCTAAAAAGTGGGGCAAGTTTAGAAAATACTTGTTCTAGATTATGGGTTTAGATTTGTATTTTGGACTAGTTAATTTTTTCTTTTGTATAGCAGTTTCCCTGATAAAGCCTTAATGAACGTAAATGTTAGTTGATGTAATTTGGAAAGGTTATGATTCTTATGGAAACCTTGGGTAGAATCTGCATGTTTTGTCTGTCTTTTGTGAAAGCATCATGGAAATGGGGAGCTTTCTGCCTGTGACTGTGAGAAAGTTTGGAGGAAGAAAAATAGCACCTTCCACTTGTACAGAAATACAGGCAGAAATGTGAAGCAACGTTCTGTTGCCCCTTGCTTGTTCTGCACGTGGCAAAGTAGTTGGACTTCAGTGCAAGGGAGTAGTACAAGTTTATGTTAGACTGCATTTTACCTAACTAGGTTTGCCTGATCCTAACTGTAATGCACATACCTAAGCAGCAAAATTTAGATGGCAGTTTTACATTTTTGCAAGTATTTTAATTTTGAGTCTTGTTTGGTTCTTTCATTAAGAAGAGTGAAATCCTAAGTCAATATGCATTGAAATATTGACATGCTGTTCAAAAATTTTGGTAGAACATGACATTTGGTAATTTTTGAGAACTAACTTGTGATACTTACGGTACTTTGTCTTAGGGCAAGAGTTTTGAAAATATTTGCAGATCTAGGTTTGAAAACATTGGATGTTATGCTCTGGAAGCAGTTTACATTGATGATTTCAGTTCCTGTAGTGACATAAGAGTGACTCTTCCTGACTGTCCAAGAATGAACATGAGGACATCAGAACTGGTGTGCATTTCAGATAATGAGATCTCTGTGTTTAACTTATCATACTGAGCCTTAATGATTTCACAGTTCTGTATTCCTCCCCATCCAGTAAGGACTTGAGTTCCTTGAGTAGGAATATGTTGGATTAAGGTTCTCACAGGAATATGTCTAGGCTTTGTCTTAATTTCTTCCTTTTTTTAAAACTAAGATTATATGAAAATCATATTTTCACATTCCTTTATGAGCTGCTTCTGTATTTGTGAAGCCATAGTGTTTTGAGAAATGGACCCAAAGTGTTGGACCTCACACTCTAGTTCAAACAGTGTTTGGTCATCCAGTGCATTATTGCTAGGGGATACACTGAGGGACCCCGAGTAACATCCAATTCATCTTGAAGTCATGAAGTGCTGTGTGTTAACTTCCATGCACCCAAAATGTCAACTTTTCAGTGCATAGACAGGGGCAACCTTTTTCACCTAATACAAATGAAATAACCTTTCCTCTTTATCTTATACAGACACTGTGACTGATGAGAGTTCAAGGCCATGGATGAAGATGGGCTTGAATTGCAGCCACATGAGCCAAATGCATTTTTTGATCCAACAGGTCTGTAAGGAGATAATACATAGATGAGATTGATGCAATTGACTATTGTTTATTCTGCCTTTGCTGAGAAGTGCTGTGCTGCATCAGTGCTTTTGTAGAGAGCAGTCGCTTTGGAGTTCGGGTTGTTTTTATTACTCCCAGCAATATGAATGAGCTACTGTTCTTTCAGTCAAGTAATAGTTTGGGTGTTGGGGGAGAGTCTAAAAATCTTTTAGGTTTTTCGGAAGAGAATCTTTTTTGGAAGAGAAAATCTTGTTCATCTTAATTATGTTAGCATCTGCTGAGGACTTGCTTTATCTATCTACCTTAGTAGTTCATATGCTGTTATGTTTGTTTTACTAAAGTGCAGCACAGTGTGAAAGTTGAAGTGAAACAGAAGTAACTTCAGTTATTAACTACCTCATATGAGAGGTAGTTAATAACTCATAATAATTAATAATACCTCAAATTACACTTTAAGTGCTATTTTAATTGTGTTTTTCAGGAGCTGATGCAGCACACATGGATGGAGATCAGATTGTTGTGGAAGTACAGGAAACAGTATTTGTTTCAGATGTGGTTGACTCAGATATAACTGTGCATAATTTTGTTCCTGATGATCCAGACTCCGTAGTAATCCAGGATGTCATTGAGGATGTTGTCATCGAGGATGTTCAGTGCCCAGATATCATGGACGAGCCAGACGTGTCTGAAACAGTCATTATTCCTGAGCAAGTGCTGGACACAGACGTAGCTGAAGAGGTTTCTTTGGCTCATTGCACTGTCCCAGATGATGTTTTAGCTTCTGACATAACAGCAGAGACAATGTCTATACCAGAACATGTACTGACAACTGAGTCAATGCATGTACCTGAAGTTGGACACGTAGAACATGTAGTTCATGATAACGTGGAAGAAGCAGATATTGTCACTGACACTCTGGGAACAGATGTTGTTTCTGAGGAAGTCTTGGTGGCAGACTGTGCATCAGAGGCAGTGATTGATGCCAATGGAATCCCTGTGGAACATCAAGACGAGAAGGGCAACTGTGATGATTACCTTATGATTTCCTGTAAGTGTTTGGGTAAAGCTATCAAAGTTCTTATGATATGGGCTTGAAATATCTGAGGGAGGGCTTAATACCCAAAGCAGAGTTTCTTTATTTTTTATTGAAATGTAGATCTCACACAGAGGGATTTTTAGGAGCGTGTACCATACAAAAGTTCTGGTGAAGCTAATTGAGAGAAATACTGGCAAATGCATATCTGATTATAAGTTATTTCTGTAGCAATTTGTAGTATATGAACAAAAGAGTAAGAATTCCAGTAAACCAAATGCCATATACTTAATAAGAACTGAAAGAAAATTAATGTGACAATGTTTAAAAATGCTTATATGTGCGGGCTACCATGATGGCTACCAAGACATTAAGGAAACAAAAATATTTTATGCAAAAGAAAGAGTAAAAAACAGTGGTTTCTGAAAATCCAATCCTTGTCTTGCTTTTTTGCTAAGCCCTCACCTCTATCCATTTATTGTGGATACAGACAGCAGTATGGTTTTCTTGGCTGTTAAGATGTGATTTCTTCTCTTGATTAAGCAAAGGACAGAGGTATGCAGCTAACAAAAAGAGTAGCTATTGCTGCTCATAGCTGGGAATATCTTAATCTCTCTTAGGAGCAGTGGCACAATCCATTTGAATTGTATTTCAAAGGGCTTAAATAGAAGGTGGAGAAAAATAGAGCATATCATCAATCTTTTTTTCTACTGAGGATAGCCATTTGTGTGAACTGGAGTTTAAGTATGTTACTTATAGTGATCACTCAGTGCAGCACCTGGGAACATCACAGTGTCATGCTGAACATTTTTTTATTGTAGAAATAGAAAAGCCTTTTTAGGTTGGTTTGTTTAATTGCCATTTCAAGCACTTCAGTTTTGTGTGGTGTTAAATGATTCTGTTTATGAGGTGTACTTCGTGCTTTGCTTCAGTTACCTTTTTTCTTTTTGTTTTTTTTTTCCTTTTTTCCCCTTCTTTACTTTTGGACATACTTTTGAAATGTATAATAACTTGTTTTAATTTTGTATTCTGTACTTACGAATTTTAATGTTGCTTCTCCTTGCCTAGGATCACTGCATTTCTTAATTTATCATCTCTTGAGTTCCTTGAGTAACCTTGTTGCAGCCATGTTTTGAGTTTATATGAGGTACAGTTAATTCTCTATTATCTGGGAAAACAATGAAATGGGATAATGCAAAATATGGATCACACAAAATATTGTAAATTAAACTGCAGGATTGTACTGAGGTGAAATAGGTCAGGGCATCTGTTCTGAAATTGTATTGACCCAGACTGATAAATATAGTCTTGTCTGGTGTGGTACAAATAAAACTTCCTGATTCTGGACCCAAGTTAAATCTGATGAAAGCAGCTCAAATGCTTCTGAACCTGCTGCATAGTTAGACAGCAGACTGGATAATCTGCCTATGGATAATTGAGGCCTGATTCTGGTGGTGATCCTTCCCTCTTCCATATCCTTGGCTGTAGCTCTTCAAGGCACTGTTGCCCCTGTCTCTGCTCACCCATCCTCTGCAGGTTTTCCTCCTTCAGAGCAGGGCCTCTGGGGCTGGTGCCATGGAGCACTTTGCAAAGCATGCCTGTGTAAATGCACAGAGAGGGGTGGGTGGATGTGTATCCTGTTCATCGCTGGCAGTGGCTGAACAAGGACAGAATGTCTTGGTAGAGGCCATTTTGGATGATCCCTACCTAGCTGGGAAGGCTTCTTGGATGCACCAGTTGTTAACAGGTGGTGGCTGGCAGGAGGCACAGAAACTCAGTTGTTCCCTTGTGCTGGGGTAGTCTCCATCTTCAGTCACATACTTCTGCAGTTTCATACTTTATTCATTATTAAATGTCTCTTGCAATGTACTTTGTTTAGATTCAGAACCTTAAATAAGCCAGCATTTAAAATAATCGTTATGCTACAAAATAGGCATTCTATTTGTGTTTAATGTTCTACAGTTCATTTTAAAGGGAAGTCCCTACTACCACCTACTGTGTTTAAAGCCTGCTTAACAAGTTCTTCTGGTTGTGAAGGCAGAGTCTAGTGCTTTTCCATCAAGTAAAGGCTGTCTTGCCAAACAGTCTCTTTGTTGTATGAAAAATATTATTTGAATTTTTTTTTTTTTTTCATCAACAGTATAAGTGTTCATTGATCTAATGCCTGTCTCAGTTCTTCAGTTGAACTTAGTTTTCAAAAAGTAGTAACATCAGCCAATCCAGTTTTGGGTTTTTCATCCTAACTTGTAAATTTGTGTTTGATCCCTGAACTGCAGGGGCAGATGTTGGAATGTAATCTTGTCTGCCATTATAGTAGTCAAATGTTTCTGCTTCCCAGATCTGTGAGCTAGACTGTGTTCTTCAGAATGCCTTTGCCTGTCTTCTTTTAGATGGGCGCTTGAAAAGCAGGGGACACTTTGTGTTCTTTCTGTTGTAGGTTTCTCCATCTGTTCTCTTCAGTGGAAGCTATTGGCAAAATCTTTTTCTTTTCCCTGTTTTGTGGCTCTTTATAAGCACTTCCATTTTTGTTTCTAATGAGCTGAGTATACATATATTTTCTTAAGGTCGTTTTCTTAGCTTTATCCTGAAAACAAGTGATTTGAAATGAGTAATCTATGTGTACATTTTTTAATGTTGTGTTTCTACCTTCTTTGTTGGTTTCAGACTGGTTTGTCTTTTCAAAGAGTACAGTTCCTGGGGGTTTCATTCTGTGAATTTGCTTCAGTGAGCTCAGTATTTTAATACTTTTCCCAGTTAGATTTAATTTAGTTTTGGCATTAGTATGCCTTTGCTGTCTTCACTTTCAAGGCAGTCCTTCTTGGCAGAGCTTTATATCACCAGTTACTTTTTGATGTACTTATTTTTTTTCTTGGATACTTTGTCTTTGCCCTCAAGATTCATTTTTGTTCCATGGTAGATTCGAGGCACTTAAAGCAGAGCAGAATCAGATACTCATTCAACTAAGAATGCAAACCTACTAGTTAGTGGCTTGAAAAAGATGAAAGGAAGTTTGATAATTTTTTTTTTCCTTTTGCATATTCCATAACAAGCCAGTTCATGAGTTGGGTCAGGAAAGTATAAATTGTGCTGTGACTCACACTGGTATTAATTACTTGGTAGCTTGGAAAAGCATTTCTCTGTAAGTGAAACAGTAGTGGTGAGATTAACTGGCCTTTGTCAAAACAAAACAAACATCCTACATTTACTAACCCAGGAAAGCGGCGCCCTGCACCTGGCAGTGAGATGGAAATATAAATTTTTTTTTTCTGATTTCATTCTGTTTGGCAATGGTAGACACATCCTCTGGTATTAACTGATTCTGTAAGATGAAAGGTTGTATCCTGATATACTCTTACTGCAGTAAAAATAGTGAGGGACAGAAGTTTGACAAGATGAGTCTGGAAAGAGTGAAGGATAGCCTCACAAGGCTTAAACTGCAGCTTTAAGAATTTAAATATTTGCAGATATGGGAGCTGTGTTATAGCCATCCATCCATCCATCCATCCATCCATCCATCCATCCAACCATCCATCCATCCCCTTATCCCCTTGCTTTTCTCTGAGTTAGACATGTCTCTTGTTTGTTTTATCTGAATCAACACTTTCCATTACAGGAGTCCAAACCCAGGGTAACTTACAGAGAGAGAAAGGTTTCACCTAGGCCAGTGAAAATCAATATTTTTTCATCCTTGTTGGATGTTTGTTGAAAGCAATGGATCTGATATACCAAGCCATAGGGTTCATGCTTTTCCTTAGGGCCATCCAGTAGACTTTGAGTCAAGAAAGCAAAATGCTTTTAATTGATTTTTTAGCATAAATACCTCCCTCTTTCCCTGGAGGTTGCTAAAGATGCAGGAAATCACATTTTTCTTTCTCAAAGATAGAACTTGCAGCTATGCCTCTGTCTGAGCGCTGGAGTGGCACCAGCAGTTGTTGCAGCTCAGGCTGCTCAGGAGGTTGCCCTGAGAGGTGATGGAAATAAGGAGTTACCTTGGGCTGAGTGATGCCTCAGAGCTTAGTCTGGTTTGTGTGCTGGGGCAGAGGACAAGAAGGACAGGTGTTAGATCCCAGCTGGGAGCTCAGGAATTACTCCTCTACTAGATTACTACCCTGGAGAGACCTCTAGATGCATAGGATGTACTCACATGTAAAAGCAATGAATTAAAATGAAAATAGTGCAGATTTCTCTTTCCTCATAGGTTAGGAAACGTGCTTTGCCATTCAAGAAATTAAGTGTATGGTAAAAATGCCTTCTTCAGGGGACTAGGAATTGTCTGCTGTTGAGTGAAGTGGATGTTTCTGTCACAAATAACTGAACAAAGTCAGGGGAAAACAATGCTTTTAATCTCTTTTAGAGGAAGTAGTTAGTAATGGCTTTTTTCATTAAGAATGCTTGAATAGGGTTGTTTATTTTGTAAGCAGACAAGTGTCCCATGATGCACACTTTTTTAGCAGCTAAAGGAACCATTTGGGAACATAAAGGCTGACAAAATAGATGATTTTTGTCTAATTGCTCCATTGACACATTTTTAAGATCTGTTTAACTGGTGTAGATAAAATTTTCCTTAGGTTGTTTGTTTTGGTGTGTTCTTTAGCAATAAGCAGTGGGTACTTGAAAAAGCTGGAAGGTGTCTGTGCTTAGGTGAATTTTATTTTTTATAATCCTTTTATTTTCCTCATTAATCCCACATAGAGGAGAAATGGTAGGAAAGAAAAAGTTTAGAAAGTTATGGAATCCATTAAAAATAAACACAGTTACATTTGCATTTCTTAATTAGAAACAAACCACTGTAATGGTACAAAGTCTTTATCTGCCTATCCCTCAAATATCTGATATAAAAAAAAACTAAAAGCAACTTCTAGGGGAAAGTGTATGAAAAGATGTTCTATTGAAGCAAATCAGGATCTTGGCCTGACATTTGTGCTTCTGTGTGGGGAAACTGACCTCCACAGGACTTGAAGTATGGAGTTGATTATCAGTGCATAGGAGCTTGTTTTGTCCCAAAAATGCCATTGAACCTGTTTTAATAGAGGGGTAGAGATACTGGAGATAATTGTCCTTTGGCTGTTACTAGTTTGTGATATGATTCTTTAAATTAAATGTAGTGCTTTCTAGTGATTGTCATTGTGATAGATCACATAGAATCTGTTGTTGTCGTTGCCTGGATCTTTTGTTTCTTCACTTTTTTCTTTATTCCTTACTCCTTTTTTTACCTGTTGGTCTCTTACTGTTGATTTCTTTATAAGTACTAATGGGACAGGTTTTAAACATGCTGTGGCTTTCATGTTGTGTGATACCTTTCTCATCTGTTTGTGCTTTTAATCACAATTCTAGCATTATCTTTATATGGAAGCAATTACTGCAACATTGGAGAAGCACATACTTACTTGATTCTTGCAGCTCATAGTATGCAAAGAGCAGGCTACTCTAATCAGTGAAGTCTGTGAAGAATTTTGGCAAAATAACCGTAGACTGCATTCTTGCAACTCATGTAAAATCATACTGTGTCTAGTAATTTTTCTGGGTTTTGTTTTGTTTGGGGTTTTTTTAACTCTTGAGATTTAGTCTGTATCCACTTGTTTACTGAGTGGAAGCTACCAGCTAGTATAGGGGGGAAAGAATCAGCCATTTAAAGTTCTTAATGTCCCGTTCATAACTGGTAAAATGGAGGCACAGGTGTGATGGAGGCACTGCAGTAATGCTAGCCTGAACTTTTTTCTAGCATGTGACTTGTGATTAGTTTAGTAATGCTCAGTGGCTCTACTTAAAGGAGGTGGTCTCTTAGAAGTTCTTTTAAGTATTTTCTTTTGTTTGGTTGGGTTTTTTTGAGGGATTTGTTGTTGTTGGGTTTTTGCAGGTTTTTTTGTTTTTGTTTGTTTGATATTGGTTTTTTTTGTTAATGTCCAAGAGGAGCAATATGAAAGAAGATCAGCCATAGATGGTAATTTGTGGGACCCCTTGATGGGCTATGAATTCAAATGGAAAATTAATATAATCAGAGTTCCAACTTGAAACACTGATCAGTCAAGTATTTCTGAATATCATTTTCTCAAATTGTGAGACTGAGATACATGGAGAATGCAGAATGGGCAAATGTTAAATGGAAAGCAAATTTCATAAAACGCTGCCAGTGAATCAGTATAAATAAATGCTTGTGTAGCCATAGTTCAAAATACCTTGGAAATTGTATTTTCTGTAATAATACCCATTCTCTTTCACCTTGTTTGTCTCTTCCTTTGATTTTTGTCTTTTTCCTATCTTTTTACCCTATTTTTCATCCTGTTACCTGTTACTATACTGCAAATATTACTGCTTTTCAAGTGCATCGAGGACTTCAGTTTTTAAAGTATTACTACCTGTCAAGAGTGAATTTTTTTTCCTTTTGGATGAGAAAAGTTGGCCTCATACCTCCTACACATCAATTTCCTTACAGTTTAATGGCTCTGTTAAAAAATATTTAAACCAGTTATATTTTAAAACAATGCTGAATATAAAGGAAATTCAGGAATAAACAAATTCTAAATTGTATAACAATTTTTTTTACTATGTTGAATAAAATAATATTTAGAATCTTGGAGAACTTATTTCAAAGCATGAATAGAGCATGTTTTTAAGACCTAGAATTCTTCTGTTGTGTGAAAGCTGTTAATGGATACTTCCATGTATAAATGGAAGTAAAAAACTCTGGTTTGGTTAAAAGAAATGGGCCTGTTTCACATCATGCACATAGATTTGTTTTCTCTCTGATTGACTCAGCCATAATTTTCCTTCCTTGTGGGTCTGTTCCAGCATCAGTTGATCTCAGTGGCAGACTTCCCTTTTGGCTTCAGAGGTGTAAAGTCAGTCTCCACTGATTTGAAAACCTTCCAAGTAAATGTGCCTGACTCTGGAAACAGCCAAGTTAAGGGAGAACAGCAGCATAAATGTAGTGTAGGAACAAAAGCAAGTTTTCTTTTTTTGTCAGAGTTCAAATGGCATTTGAAAGTCTGTTAGTAACTGAATATACATACTGTGGAGCTACATTGTTAATGTGATTCAAAAGAACATCTTAAGGGTTTTACTTCTAAATGCTTTGGGGTTCAGCTACAAGATGTTATGTTGTCCTGTGACACAGAGTAATTTTTTTAACATCCTACTGCTTGAAACAATCTGTACCATGGCCACTGATCATGATCTTGGCATTCAAATATTTATTTTTTTTCTGCTGTTCTTTTGGTAAGGAGAGAGACAGATTAATTTATGTTAGTGCTTTATAATTTAATGTATATTCATATTTTCTGTGAGTAATGATGCCTGATTGAGAAATTGTTCTTAAGTGCAGTTATGTTTGATACATGAGACAGAACGTGATAGTTTATCTAATTCAAAGGCTAATTTATTGACTTAATGGCAGGAAAATAATAGTAATAACATTTTGAGCTTTTTTAAAGTATGTATTAAAATAAATTTAAGAATGCAGTTACTGAGTAGTAAAGCTATGATTTATTTATGAGGGTAGTTCAATGAGTGCTAGTAAAGCAAGCATACTTTGTGAAGTATTTGGTATGTCCTAGGCATGGTAGTTAAAAATTCTTCACCATTTATAGGACAGTTCTTAGATTTCTATTAGTATAAATTCCATGTCATTCTGTCATGAACTGAAGTCATGCATGACTCTGAGGGAGTGACAGTAAAGTCACGAATTACAAAAGTATTTTGTCATGTTAGGAATTCTTAAATAATTTCTATACTGAAGAAACATCTGTGGCTTCTGAAAATTGGGAGATTCTTCAAAGGTCTTGAGAGCTGGATTTGATTTTTGTGAATGCATACTTACTATTTTTTTCTTGAAAACCTGTTCTTAGTAAAGTAAGATGGGGGAGGTGCCCGTGTACAGTATACCTCAAAAATCCAAGTGTGTTCCTTGTAAAGCTGGCTGTCAGCCATGGGTAATGTGGGATTCTGGGCAAGTTTCAGCAGCTCAGACTGGAGCGTGGTGTGGGTGCCCTTCTGGAGGCGGGAGAGCAAAGTTTGGGAGTGCACAGGAGTGCAGGGCAGGGTCCTGCAGGAAGGACACCAGTGCACAGGGCTGCAGCAGGAGTGCAGGGCTGGGTCCTGCAGGAAGGACACCAGTGCACAGGGCTGGAGCAGGAGTGCAGGGCAGGGTCCTGCAGGAAGGACACCAGTGCACAGGGCTGCAGCAGGAGTGCAGGGCAGGGTCCTGCAGGAAGGACACCAGTGCACAGGGCTGCAGCAGGAGTGCAGGGCAGGGTCCTGCAGGAAGGACACCAGGGGCAGATTCCCAGCGCTGCAGTGGGAGGGCAGCACTCGGCCCTGTGCTCCTTCCCCAGCTGTGGAGGGCATGAGGAAAGGGGAGGAGTTTCTTCCTGGAGTTGCCCTGAGGTTTCCCCTCCTGGCAGCTGGAAAAGCCCCAGTACCAGGTGCTTTTCAGGGAACCAGTTCTGACGGCCAGCAGTAGTACCACTTGCATCAGAGACAGCGTTGAGCAGCAGATAGTGCTTTTGAAAAGAACAATTAATAGCTTATTAGTTGTGAAGGAGAAAGCAATTAAAACAGAGAATAAGTGAAATTATGCCGCAGAGTGAAGTATTTATGTGTACTTTCTTCCTACCATCATCTTGATGCAGATCACAGTTTCCTTATTAGCATTGCCTGGTGCGGTGTTCATGCTTCTAGTTCTGTCATTGCAGCATTCTTGCACTTCCACCTTAACTAGAGGATAACAGCTTGAATTTATTTTTGTGTTTATTGTCACTATTTTCAAGGACATGAAAAAAAATTAATGGGTAGGTTCTTTATCACAACTTTTTAATTTTAAACTGCTTCCAAATTTGAGTCATAAATTAATAAATGTCTTTCATATATGTCTGTCTGCATATGACTGGGTAATTGTAATAACTTGTTTTTGTAGTGGATGATGCTGGTAAGATAGAACACGAAGGTTCTGCTGAAATTACCATGGAAGCAGAGTCAGAAAGTGGCTCTTGTAAAGTGGATGGCATTTGTCCAGAAGTCATCAAGGTCTATATATTCAAAGCAGACCCTGGAGAAGACGATTTAGGTAAAATACACGTTTGAGAATACTCCAACCTGACACTTGAAATTTTGCATGAGACTGTGGTTTCTCTCAAGTGGTATGTAAAAACCTGTGAGTCTGATATTAAAGAGTTGACAAACTTCGAAGTTTTTGTGGTTTAGCGTAGATTTTGGTGACATGTATTTAAAATATTTTGCTCTGGTCTTCCTAATTAGGGGGCACAGTAGACATTGTGGAGAGCGAGCCAGAGAATGATCACGCAGTTGGATTGCTCGATCAGAACAGCAGTATTCGTATTCCAAGGGAGAAAATGGTTTACATGACTGTAAATGATTCTCAGCATGAAGACGAAGACTTAAGTAAGTAGGTGGCTTTCCTTTGGGAGAAGGGATTTTCACTTTCAGCAGTGCAGCATTCCTATTTTTTTTTAAACTTCTTTTTTTCTTAGATGTTGCAGAAATAGCTGATGAGGTTTATATGGAGGTGATTGTAGGAGAGGAGGATGCTGCAGCCGCCCATGAACAGCAAATCGATGACACCGAAATTAAAACTTTCATGCCCATAGCTTGGGCAGCAGCTTATGGTAAGTAATACTTGAAAGAATTATTCTTGACTCCCACTGCAGCAAAGTACCAGGGATTGGTTTTTGGAGGGTAGTCTAGAGTATTTGTGATTTCGTGTTTGTTTCTAGAGTTTTAGTTTAAGAATGGTTTCTTGGCATGAGCCTTAAACAAAAAAGGAAGAGGAAAGTTGTAACGCAGGGTTCTTCATGCTTCTACTTAACAGGCATTTTCCTTCCTATTTGCATGATGTGAACGAGGAAATACATGAGCTTCCAGCTAAAAAATTGAATCTCAAGTACCTCTGTTCCTCAGAGTTTTGGGACACAGTGAGAGTTGACTTGGGACTAGAACAGAGTATTTTTATTTGGGGGTGGGCAAAAAAAAGTAAGCAAATGGGAATATGTAAGATTCAGTGTAGCAGTGAAAAGCAGCACTGAGGTCTTGCTGGATTTGTGTGCTTTCTAGAAGGATCATATAAACATGATTTCACTAGTGGCAATAATGAATTGACTAATGAAAAGAAGTTGTAGCAGAACCTTGAGAGCATTTCCAGCGTGCAGAACCATTTTTCTTGATCGTTGATACGTGAACACCCAAACTTTCGTAAGCTTAAGACCAGAATTTCATCTGAAAAAATGTTTGTGTTGCCCCTTTCTGCTTCTAAACAAAACAAACAAAATAGTGGAGTAGAGGACAAAACTTAGATGTCTGCATGATGTTGATTGTGGTGATGGTGCCAGCAGACAATTGTGCTGGGAATACAGTGGGGGCTGGAGTCTTGGACATAAGTCAGGAAGGGCAAGATTTCAGGTAGCAGTGTGTGTTTAAAAGTCACTTAGGGGATGGATGGTAGGGCACCCAAAGCCTTATCTTAGGTCATACTGGTGAGCCCAGTTTGAGTGAGAAGGAAATGACATAAGCCACTCTGAGTGGGCATTAAAAATGAAATCGAGTGAATTTGAAACAAGTTGGATACTAAACATTCAGTGGTTTTGGAGGGGGAGGACAAAATTGAGCAGAATGTATTAAAAACAATGAGATGGAATTGAAAGGAGCATTTAAGAATGTGGGAAACAGTGGAGTAGTTGCATTGTCAGCAGTAAGCAGCCTAGTGTACAGGGTGAGAGGTGGTGGGGACAGGGAGAAGTTAAGCATGAAGGCCTGAAAATGGCAGAGGAACACTTGAGCTAGGATATAGGTCAGAATCTTCAGGCTCTGCACATGTGCCTGGCTCTGAGTCTCCTTACATTAATCATGAATATTAATTATCAGCACTCTATTAAAGGAGCAGCTGTTGAGCATATTGCACTTTCTTGAATCTTCCTGTCTTACTTGTGTACTTTGCTTTCACTAGGAAATGCTGGCTTTTATTGATTCAAGTAAATACTTGACCACAAAATTTATTATTAAAAGTTCACTTATGCTCTTAAATCACCAATATTAAGCTGATTGCCAATAAATTCCTTCTTGAACGTATTTGTAATTTTCATGTTTGTTTTACATACAGTGATACCATTTGTGTATTAAACACAAAACTCTGTGAGGCAAAGACTCTTCACTTCTTTCTGTTACACAATACTGAGCATGCTCTTTGTTCCCAGTAGAAAGAATTTGTAAGTGCTAAAGCATCAGGTGTATAAATAGTAAATAGTGGACTTTGCTTATCACTTTATGGGCTGTTCAGAAAGATTCTTTGATCACAGCTGCAGTTCAGAAACTCGGTGTGTGACAAACTTCAGTCAGGTGAATTCAGACAGACAGAAGTGAATGAGAGCTCACACACAAATTGTATTTCAGGACTGAGAAGAAAATCTGGTGCAGTGGATATTGTGACATGCTATTATTTACTAATGTTAAACATTTTGGGCATAATTAGCAACCAGAGAGATTCTAAAAATGCTGCGTTTGAAGAATTCTCTGTAATGAAAAGCCATTAATTCCTGTACATTATGTACTCCTGTAAAATTATGTTAACAAAGCTAATGCTTATGATACTAATCAAAACCCAAGTTACGTGGTGAGACATTTTCCATCTTCTGCTGTACATGATTACAGTTTGGTTAAATGTCCAGATAGTAGTTTATCATTTCTGTTACTGCCGTTGCAGAATTTGTGCTCGAATTACCCGCGGTGTTGGTAGGTAACCTTTTAACTTCCTTTGGTAGGTAATAATAACGATGGCATCGAAAGTCGGAACGGCACTGCAAGTGCTCTTTTGCACATAGATGAGTCATCTGGACTTGGGAGGCTGGCCAAGCAAAAACCAAAGAAGAAGAGGAGACCTGAGTCCAGACAGTATCAGACAGGTGAGTATGTGGTGCTCTCGTTCATCCAGGCACTTGCCCATAAACAGATGCCTTTGGAGTGTCTTGTAAAAAGAGGGATTTGGGGAATTACTTGGTTGACAACACTTCTACTTTATAAATGAGTGCAGATTTTATTTTGCAAATTTTAAATATATGGGTGATTTGGATTGTGTCAGGTATTTTAAAGGAAGCCATTTCTGACATAGAAAAAGTATCATAGCAAAAGGTTAAAAAGCTATATACTTAACTTGCCACACCTGTTTTAATGTTTAATGTAGCTTTTTAAAAGGCAATGTTAGATAAATGGTATTCTATAATCATGCCTTTTAAAACCCCTTTTATTTGTCTTTATTGAAAATATATAGAACAGTGCATTTCATTATATCAGCTCAGTAGGTGACTGGAAAGTCTGAACATTATATATAAATTTTCAGTAGTGTAACTTCTATACCCTTTCCTGTTTTAATGGTGAAATAAAATTGCCTTGACATTTGTGCCTATCTTTTTCTTTCCATCTGTGAGAACAGAAATGTTCTGTAGCATAATTTGTTTTCTGCTGTTACTGTGTTACAGTCAGAATATTTATTTGGTTTGATAAAGTTGAAAAAACACAACTTTTTTCTTCAGTAGCCTTGCCTTAAATAATACTAGAAGTTTCTTTCCGAATTGTGACTTAACTGTAGGAGTTCTGTTTAGCTTAGCTTGAGTTAGTAAACTGTGCAAATTAAATATGGCCTTTTCTATTTCCAGCTAGTCCATTCTCCTTATAAAACATTTTTGGACAAGACAGCTTTTTTAACATCCTTAGGCAAATTCAGGGTAAACAAATCGGGGTGATAGATGAGTGCAAATATTTTCCAAAGCTTTGAGGTTTCTCTGTGTAAAACATGTTCTTATTGGTTTTTGCTTGGTACCTCTTCAGATTGTAGCTGTGACAGATGGCATAAGAAGGAGGTGTTAGTTTCGGGGCATCTGAATTGTAGTCAGTGGTAGGTGATTGAACTGCAGGATTAAACTTTATCTACAGATTTGTGGAGAATCAAGAGAAGATTGTGTACTTCACTTACTAGATGATACTCAGTTTAACAAGTTGGCTGCAGTTCTTTGCACCAGCCATTGGTTTCTGCATGTATTTAATGTGTGAACTCAGTCAGAATTCTTCAAAATAGAATTACTTAAGGTGAAGAACATGTATAGTAAAACATATGTATCCCATCTTTCTCAACAATTAATCTTACTGTTAACATCTCACATTTATTAAAGTGTAGTATTGTTGTATAGTATTGATAAAGGGGTTTTTTGTTGTTTTTCAGCAATAATCATTGGTCCCGACGGTCATCCACTGACAGTCTATCCCTGCATGATTTGTGGAAAGAAATTTAAATCCAGAGGTTTCTTGAAAAGGCACATGAAAAACCACCCGGAGCACCTTCTTACTAAGAAGAAATACAGATGCACAGACTGTGATTACACTACGAATAAAAAAATAAGTTTACATAACCACTTGGAGAGTCACAAGCTGACCAACAAGACGGAAAAGCTTATTGAATGCGACGAGTGTGGGAAAACCTTCTCTCACGCGGGAACTTTATTTACTCACAAGATGGTGCACAGGGACAAAGGAGTTAATAAAATGCACAAGTGCAAATTCTGCGATTATGAGACAGCAGAACAAGGGTTACTGAGTCACCACCTGTTGGCCGTCCACAGCAAGAACTTTCCTCACATTTGCGTGGAGTGTGGCAAAGGGTTTCGTCACCCGTCGGAGCTCAAGAAGCACATGCGGATCCACACCGGCGAGAAGCCCTACCAGTGCCAATATTGTGAATACCGATCTGCCGACTCTTCCAACTTGAAAACCCACGTAAAGACTAAACACAGTAAGGAAACGCCGCTCAAGTGCGATATTTGTTTCCAGACTTTTTCAGATACCAAAGAGCTGCAGCAACATACGCTTATGCATCAAGAAAGTAAAACGCATCAGTGTTTGCATTGTGACCATAAGAGCTCAAACTCGAGTGATCTGAAACGACACATTATTTCGGTCCACACAAAAGACTATCCTCATAAGTGTGATATGTGTGATAAAGGCTTTCACAGGCCTTCGGAACTGAAAAAACACGTGGCGGCTCACAAAGGTAAAAAATTGCATCAGTGCAGACATTGTGACTTTAAAATTGCAGATCCGTTCATTCTGAGTCGCCACATACTCTCAGTTCACACAAAGGATCTTCCATTCAGGTGCAAGAGGTGTAGGAAGGGCTTTAGGCAACAAAATGAGCTGAAAAAACACATGAAAACACACAGTGGCAGGAAAGTTTATCAGTGTGAGTACTGTGAGTACAGCACTACAGACGCCTCAGGCTTCAAACGGCACGTGATTTCCATTCACACAAAAGACTACCCTCACCGGTGTGAGTATTGCAAGAAAGGTTTCCGAAGGCCTTCAGAGAAGAACCAGCACATTATGCGACATCATAAAGATGTTGGGCTGCCTTAAAGTCTCTTTCACAGACTTATGGCTGGAATTATAAAGGAAATTTGCCTTTCAGGCAGTTAGCTTATTTTAAAGCCAATCACCTACGATCACACACACACACAAAAAAAAAAACCACAAAAAAACAAAAACAAAAAAAATACTGTGCATTTGATTTGTTGCTGTATAAAAATAGGATTATTGCTTGTAGTTGACTTTTATACCTTTTGTTCAATAGCGTGTTCTGAATTCTATTCAGTTTGTTTAATAAATGAAGAAAAGATGGCAACAATAAAGTTGCATTTAATAAAGTAAACCCTGTCTCTTACTGAATTTTTCAACCGTAATAGTTAATTTAAGTATATTTATCTTACTGATCTCGTTGATACTCACAGTGTCCATGTTAATGCAGTTTTGTCGTGAATTTTAAAAATACAGAATTTCTCTTGATGAAATTGTCAGAGGTGTGTATAAAATGGGGAATTGTCATGTTGACAGTAAAGTCACTAGGGCCCACCTGATTGTCCTGTTTTAACTATACAGACTTCATGGCAGGTTAACTATTTTCCGGTTGAGGAGTTAGAAGTCTCACTTTGTGTTTTCATTCTGGTTTCAGAGAGAAAAATATTTTTAGAAATGGTTTGGGGCGGTTTTTGTCTTTCCTGGGCAAATTCAAAATATGCGCAAATATTACATTTATTGTTCTGTGCTTCTTTGTCTTTGAAAGGTTTTGTGTGTTACAAGAGTTGGGTTTTTTCCACTTTATTCCTGTCTTAAATGTTGGAAACATGAAATACTCTTGTTCCATTTGCAGAGTTAACAATAGATCACAACTGTCTGTATGTGCTGGTAAACGTACCTCAAACTTTATGCTTTTATGTATGTTGGTATTTCTTTGAAAGAGCAGTTTGTGGTTCAAGTCACATTTTTATTGTTAATTGTTTTAGAATAGAATTTAAGACCAAGAGGTGCCTCAGTTTTGGAAACCAGGTATTTACAGTGAGAGCTTAAGAAGGGCCTGGAGTGGAGCAGATGAGTTCATAAGGAGTAGAGATGTTGTAATGTAGATGTCCTTAATAAAAAAAGTATCTTATGATAGATGCAGTTCTGTTACTAAATGAAATGTTTTTCCTGAGCCATTAGTAGCTGTGTTCAGTGGCTGTTTAATAATTAGTACTGTATCCAGAATTAACCCAGTTCTTTCAATCTGTTTATAAACAGCTGGGAGAACATTACAATTATTAGATGCAATTTTGCCACCTGAAGACTGTTATAAAATAGCTCCATATCATTTGCTAATTGCAGTGTAAATGTACCAAGCACAAAGTCATGTACTTTAACAACAACCTTGGAGCAAAAAACCCAAACCGTTTTAATTACAGGCCAGATTTTAGGACATGGCCCTGCTCCCCTTGCTCGAATTCTCATCCCAGCCACTGATGATGGATTGCAGAATTCAGTCCTGGCTGCCTGCCAGATTAGGATAGATTTGTAACCAACAATTCCCTAATGGAAAGGCTGCAGCGACTGGACCAGTGTTAATTCCTGTTTCTAGGCAGGTGAATTTCCAGTTGAACTCAAACAGGAATTTTAGTGATAGTTTCAAGTTTGGGGTGAGAGAGGGACAAAGGTTTCCTTTCTGGATGTGCATCTTCTAGGCCTTTTGTAATTTGTCTTGTTACCAAGCCCTGCCCCTACTGCTCATCCCTGCTGTCTCACTGTAAGCTGGAATTCTTGTCTGTAGTGTGCAGTTCAGGAGAGTCCGATGCCATGTCACTGCCTGTGCTGTAGGATGGTTTTTTCTTTCTTTGCCTGCTTGCAGTGCCCCAGACTTGCTGGGTGCTCTTGTGTAATATTGCTCCTACATGACTCTAGCGTGTAATTCCTGGCCGTGCTGCATTGTGCCTTCCTTGAAATCCCCGCTGAAGCCAGTGGATTTCCTCCGTGGCCGTAGTGTCCTTTGCCTGCTGATGCCAAACCAGATGCAGTAAAACCCAGCAGAGATTCCCACTCGCTTCTTGCAAAATACTTGCCTGTGACTACTTTTTTTTTTTTTTCCTCTCTTATGTTCAAGCATTTTCTAACTGGAAACCTGGAAAGTGTACAAAATCTGCAAAAAATCCCATAGTAGTGCTGAGGATTTTAGCCATTTTGAACTTTATTTTTTTAAATAAGCTGAAAGACAAAGAACACAATTTTACGCATTTTCTTTCTCTTACGTAGCCTGGAATCATACACACTTTTTTTTTTTTTTTTTTTTTTTTTTTAAAGCACAATGTTGAAACTTTTTTTTTAATAATTAAGGGTTTGGTCAAGTGGATTTTGTAAAATGTATTTGTCTGTATAAAGAGAAAATGAAGTTATAGTTATTGTTAATGTACTGACATTAGTTACAGGTTAGTTTTAATTCTTAAATAATTTGCTTAGCAAATGCTATAAAGTGGATGTTTCAGTTTAATGTTTAAAAAAGGTACAGATTTTTACAAGGACATAATATAAATTATTGTTCTGTAGAAAATACCCTGTTAAATATTGTATATGTCCTTCCCTCTGTACACTTTGTAAAAAAGACAAAAGAAAAAAACAAAATACATAGAACCATATAGGGATGTGTGACATTATTGTAATTGTGTACTTGATAATAACGTGAAAAAATAAAATTCAAAATATTTTCCTTTTAATGAACGTTTAGTCTATTTGATGCCAGTTCTGAGATGGAGCCTTGTTCTGAGGGACACGCTCACCTGCCCTTTACCTTCCCTTCTGCTCCCTGCTCTTCAGCTCATTGTGAGCAGCACTGGGGTGGGAGCGGTTCAGTCCCGGCTGTGGCTGAAACGTTCCTTGACCTGGAAGTCTGCACAGGTGAAAGGGATGGCAGGTCTTCAAAATCCATTTTAACGCCTGGTTTTATATTAAAGAATTCACATCTGATCAACTTCTGATAATGGCTTTGTGTTTTTCAGCAAGGTGCTTACCTACTGCTACTACACTGCCCCAAAACGCCCCGTCAGACCTTGAAACAAATGAGGGGCGCTGCTGTTGTTGGGATTCAATAAATGTTTCCTGGTGCCTCTTTTGCCATGTGAGCCTCAGCAGGAGCCCAGCTCCCGCTTCCCGCTGGGATGGGTGAGCAGGGAGGGTGCAGCTCTGCGGGGCGATGCCTGAGCTGGGCCTCTGCCTCTCCTGGCTGCCCTGCCCAGCTTCTCCAGCCGCTGCTCCCTGTGCACCCGGCTGGGGGTGCAGAGGGCTTGTGGCTGTTTGCCCCACTGCTCTCGGAGTGCTTCAGCCCAGTTAAATCCAGCTGGGCAGTGGGAGCTCCTCTGGCAAAGGTCTGTCTGGCACAGGCCATCCTGCCCGCTGGTCCCACGACTGGCAGAGGTGCTGCTGGATGTCACTGCCCTCTATCTGCACCTGCCTTCCCAGGGAGGAGGCCCAGCTGCCTTCAGGACATTTATACCTGTTAGTTCACTCTCACTGGTGCCTTTAGGAAATGCTGACTAACTCCTCATCTCCGTGATTCAGCCCCATTGAAGTGGGGCATTGGGCAGCTCTTCACAGAAGTAATCTGTCACACTGCAGAGCCAGCAATCTCCCTTTGATTTGGTTTGGTTTTTTGTTTTCTCCATCTACCTGATGTTCCTCAGCCACTCATCAGGAAATTGTACATTGAGTACCAGAGACATTCAGGGCCCTGGAGAAGAAATGTCCCCAAATCTGGCTGCATCCATTCATCTGTGAGGAAGGGCCAAGAGAAGTTACCAGTTCTAGGCTCCTGCACAGTAGCAAGTCCCCTCCTCCTCTAGGATCTCCTCTTTTTCCTCTTGGATTTGTGTAGCTGTGGGAGCCTCCACTTGCCCAGGTGCCTGCAGCCCCTATGGGTGATTTCCCCCTCACTGGGACACAGCAGCCAAGGCACCCAGAGCCTGGATGCCTACCTGAGAGTTCTTCGACAGTCCTATTTGCAAGCCAAAGGCTGTGTCACTAGTTAGGAAAATAAGCAGCTGGACAGCTTCTCACTGCTGTTCCCTGGCTTGTTAAAGTAGTAATTAAAATTAAATAATATATAGTTAATAGGAAAAACAATTAATACATAAACAATTAGAACAGGTAGAAAATTGACCAAGGAGGGGCTGGCTGGAACCAATAAGGAAGTGAGTAGAGGGGTGAGGGGCAAAGAAGTGGTTGTTGATACTCACAAACAAAAAACTTTCCTTTGGTTTTTGTGAAGTTTGAAGAGGGGATGAGTTGATTTGGTTTCCTGTAAGTGCTGCTGCAGAAAAGGCAAGTGTTTTGATAGTTTATTATTTTATAAAAGTAGTGTAAATACCAAGTAAGGCTCGGGATGGTTTTTTCCAGACCTGTGACAATGCTATAGGCCAAGAGCATTTGAAAACTACATGCACAGGTAGTTCAGAGGCCATGTACCACACAGACTTTAGTAATATTTACTGGAAATCTGCAAATCTGGAAAAAAAAGGTTGCTGTTCCATTGAAGATAAAAATCTGAGAATCATCTCAGCACAAACTCAGGCAAAATCAGGATAAAGAATTACAGCTGCTGGCACCAAGTAAAGAAGGAAACATAAAGAGTTAAACACATCCTACATTATAGTTAATACATGTGTGCCCTAGCTTTGGGCAGACTCCTCCAGTGCTGTGGCAGTGCAGGGTCATGTGCTGGGCTGTCCCTGCTGTGACAGCAGAACTCTCCAGAGCCAAGTCCCACATAGCACCACTGCTCATCCCTGCTCTGCCCCTCACCCGATTTTCTGCTGTGGTTTAACCAGTGTTGGAGGTTCACTGTAGCCAGCTCTGCCAAGGAGCCAAGGGTGGGGTGTCAAGAGCTTCAGATGGGTGACTCCCATTGTGGTTGGTGCTTGTTCTCCTCGCCTCCTGGCTGGGCGATGTCTGTCAGCCCCGCTGCCCTGACAGGCCAATGCTCCTGGGCTGCTCAGGGGCTGAGGAGTCTCAGTGAGTCTCTTGAGGAGCCAAGTGCTTGAAATCAAGTTTTTGATGGAAAAACCTGTGCTCTGTAATCAAAGCCCAACATAAAGCACCAGCCTTGATGAGAGTCCAACAGGGACCACAGAGGTGTTCCTGCCCTAGGAAGCAGAACTCCGCATTTTGAGAGTTTTAAACTAAAGTCTAGCAAGTTGGCTAAAAGCTCAAAGAACAACCTACAAGCACAGTGTCAGACAGGGTCCAAAAGACCTGCCTTGTCCTATTTAGATTCCTTGGTCTTAGTTCAGTTGCTCATATCCAGGCACAAAAGCCACTGTGATTGATTGTCTTGGGACTCCAGGTGCTGCACAGGTCCTGAGGGGAATCTGTGCATGATGGTGTGCCCAGAAACAAGTACAGATGAAAAGCCACTTCATGACAGACAAAAGAAGGATGTAACACAGACTTGATTTTTCTCTTGCACTGGCATGAGAAAATTTTTTTGTTAATCTGATACTGTAAAGTTAGCTCTAAGAAAACTAGGACATATTTTGTTTGACACAGCCCAGAAAAACAAAGAGTGCCAGGATTGTATCCATTTGAAAGCATGAATCATAATTAACAAGCATTCACAGGTACAGAAGCTGGGATGTTACCACCAGTCAAATGACTGGCAGAAGAGAATAATAAGAATAAAGAAGTGCTTGAAACTGGGAAAATTAATATATACTTTATATATTTACTCTACTTTTAAATGTCATTATGGTATCATTAATACCATTTTGCCTATCTATCATGGCCTCACTGAGAGACTTTAGTTTCCTTACTTTTTAGGCTTTTAAGGCAGCAGTTTTGCTGAAAAGTTTCTGGCATGGAGCAAGGTGAATTCTCTGTGGGTAGTCAGAGCAGTGCCAACACTTGTCCAGACTCACTGAGCTCCTTTGCAACAGTACCCAAAGCTGCCACCACACTGGACAGTTGACCAATATCACAATAAACCTAACATGGATGCAGGAGAAAACACCCCACAGCTCTATACTGCCATGCAAAAGATCTTCTGTAGTACAACAAACACCTTGCAAAAAGACCCCAGCAAGCCAGGATAGTGATACCATCTCATGGTCACTGCAGAGCAAGAGGAGCCCTGAGCCTCCTCTTGTTAGAGCAGCTTGGGGCTCAGGGCTCTCCCCTGGTATTCAGATATATTCAGATATATATTCAGATATTCAGAAATTCAGGTATTTCACATGTGCAGGCACAGAGCCTGGGAAGGATCAGAAGAAGCTGACTGCTGCAGAAAGACAAACAGCCTGTGCTGCAAGTGTCCTGTGCCAGGATTTCTGTGTGAGCCTGAAGAGAATCCCAGCAGCAGTGCAGGATTGGCTCCTGTGTGAGGCTGGGGACGGTGGATCCATGCCACTGAGGCCAGGTAGCTTTACCTGCAAGTGCAGACCAAAGCCTTCCCCACAACTTGGATATTAAACGCCTGCTCTGCCAAGGCTGGCAAGCAGGATCCTGGCTTGGGCACTTTCCCGGGAGTCCCAACATGTGCTGGGTCATGGGGGCCTCCTGACAATTGAGCTCAGAGATGGAACCAGCCCCCTCTCCTCCTCTGGCTCTGGCTGGAAGGAGGAATGGCTGCTGGGCTGCCAAGAGTGGCTGAGCAGCAACTCCTTTTCTGACTAGATATTCCTTTTCTTCATTGGGAGCTTTTGAAATGACCTGAAGACAATGGAATGAAAGCAGCCTGGCCACTTGCAGGAGGTCAGTTACAGAAAGGACTGGATAAAAAGAGATTTCCCTCTTGCATCAGGGAGACAAGGAGGCTGGGAAGGGTGCAGCAGCAGCTAAGCACCAGCTGCCTTGCATTTCCTGATGCAGAAGACCATTAAGGCAAAGAGAAAGCCCTGTACATGCAGTACCGTCCCTGTATTCTCAGGGAGGGGAAGGACTCAATTTACCATCTGCATTCAAATAAATACAAGTGGGACAAGTGATGTCCCCCAGAACACACATCCATCTGTGAAATACACCGGCGCTTGAAAGACAAAAAGATTTGGCAAGTGATGCCTCTTCAGTATGACATAGCTCTTACATAAAAGAAAACTAAATTAATGTGATCTTGTCTCATAAACTTGAAAGTGATTGCAGATTACAGAACAGCCTCTTAGAGTTGAGCTTCAAGTGTCTAAAAATAGCATTTGTTCCCCTTCTTGTTTATTTATTTATTATTTTTGGAAGAGCATACAATGAGATGTAATGCAAATGGCAGGTAACATGCAACTAGTCCTGAGAGCTCTGCCTGTAGTAATCAGGAGGCTGGACACTAGAAGAGCAGCTCTAAAGGAGAGAATCGCTGCTGAGGCGCCACATCCATCCTTTAGTTGCCCTGGTGGCTTTTGCACATTTGGATGCCCAGGGTCCCTCCTGCGGTGCAAGATCACCCCAGCAGTGCTGGGGATGCCACTGCAACCACGGAGCCCTGGGCCAGCACACCGTCCTGCTTCCCTGCAGGTGGGCTTTTCTTCCCCATTGCAACAGGGAGTAAATTCTTGTGTCCAAAGAGCTGAGCTTACTAGTATTAAGAGGCTTGTGAGTCTTAAATCACTAATCCCATTAGTGGGATCAATATTAGGAACCAATATTAGGAGTCCTTTCTTGGGGTTGCCAAGTTCAAGGGGCAGAAATCACAGGGTTTCCTTTTGGTTTTTGGTTGGCACAGCCAAGATCAAGTTAAGTT